GATAGATAGATAGATAGATAGATAGATAGATAGATAGATAGATAGATAGATAGATCCCAGCAAGCTCTAATACCATACGGTTCAGTCTATATTATTACCATAGCAAACCTGATTAGTATTCGGGGGGGGAAATCACACCTTTCTGGCAAGCATACAGTGCAAGCTGCCTATTGTTTTATAGGCACTAAAATACTAATTTACTAACAAGATCTTTCACATTATACGTTTATACATTAGATCTATATTACGAGATTTGACTACACTCTGCCTGATACTTTAACCCGTTAAAACCCTATTGTGGGTCTCAAGAATGGAATTTAGCTTTAAAACTGAGAGTATGTTGGGGTTTTTTTCTCAATTGGGCATGATAATTGAAATTTGATGGTTATACCCAGTGCACACTGCTAATCGATTTCATCGATTTGAATCGGTGCCAGTCAGATTTTTGCTTCATATAAAAGCTACCATTCTGGCACAATACAACCGAATTCTACTAAATTCGACTGCGGCCTTCAAAATCAAGCACGTTTCTTTTCCAAACCACAAGTCAAATTGATCGTATTATGAAAACCTGATAGGTACGTTGCTTTTGCCTCATCCATGAAGGAACTTCGAGCTGGCCCCGACTCAAAACGATGAATTCTATTTGCAGTGTGCCCTGGGAATTATGTGGTGGCTAGAAGATCTTACGGCTTAGGGTGCTCAAAACATTTGAAAAATGAACTTAACCCAGAGGGCAATCCTGAAAGCATTATCGTGCAAGGCTTTCAGACAAGGATGCACTCGAGAACAACAGACACACCAAAAAAGTGACCCAGGCCAACAATCTAAGCTAAGTGGTCTTAAAAGTTGAGACGGGCAAAGTTGGCTAAGCTATTTTGGCCCGTTAAAAAAGTTCCTTCGTGATCCCAATAATTAATATTCTGCAGGCAGCAGGGGGTCGTTTCTGGATTATCTCACTTCTTACCCGTCCAGCTTTTGTTTCCGTTTTTAGTTTTGCTTTTTCGCGAGATCAGAACCTCATTTTAAGAATACACTTCTTCTACTTGGAACTTTAGATTAGACCACGTTTTTTAGGGAGTTTTTTGTTTTGTTTTTTTTTTGGAGCGGGTGGGATTGTTGGGTTATTTTGTTTTGTTTTTTGGTTGTTGTTGGTTTTTTTAAGTTTGATACTCCTTTCTCCCACCCCC